CGATCTTCTATTATTTCAATTCTCTTCACAATTATCTCTCTCTTTCACGAAAGATGGTATTTTAACAACAATTTATTATTTTCATTTCTCAATTCTTGAGGTGATGAACAGGTGAGATTTTGTTATTTTTATCCCTAACTTTCTTTTTTCCTATTAAAATAAAAGGCCCCATCCTTAAAATTGACGCCTAGTTGATTTGATTGTGGGGATGCTAGTCAAAGTCGTGCGGGAAGGGCGGAAGGCTCATGGAAAGAAGAATAGGGACCCGTCCCAAAAAACACGCATTAAAGACAAAGCTCTCCCATATTTTTACACCTTTTCTTCCCATTCACATTCATTTTTTTTCCCCAAAGAAAAGCTGCAGCACTTGTAAGCACATGGGAAAACTTGGCCGCTTATCTCAAATTTTCTTAAAGACGCAACATGCACACCCCACTACTTTCAGTTAGAAATATTGTATACTTTGTATCAGAGACAATTTAGTAACCAACAGGATTGGGTTTCAGCAGTGGAACAGAAAGGGCTAGTCTTCCACAACATGGTGAGTTAAGGTTTGAATCATTGTTAGGAGAGGTGGCCATATTTAATACTCGACAGTATCTCAAATAAAATTATTTCTAATAAAAATATACCTACGCCTAAAAAAACAGAAATGTACAATGCAGACAAAATATAACCTAGCTCTAGACATACACTTGGGTTCTCTTCTATAGCATAATGGTTCAGGCAATATGATACTCCCTCCGTCCTGTGAACAAATAAGTTATAAATGATTAAATTACATTAATAAAAAATTAATTGAAATTGGTTAATTTTTTTGGCTGAATAATTTAAATTGGTTAATTAAAGACAATAAAAATGCAGGAGATGTGTTTTCTCAGGAAAACAATAATACCTTATTCATGAGGGTGAGTAAGAAAGACAATGAGCATTAAAAAAAACAGAGAGAATGTAATTAATTGCAGATAAAAATTTAAAAATATGTTAAATTTTTAGATAAGTACAAACAGTGACTTATAAAAAAGGACCCTATCCCAAAAATTGTAACTACTACACACACATATATATGATTGTTGGGTCTAGGGACTGCAGTGATACTAAAAAGAATTAGATAACTACGTAAAAATATTCAAATCTTTTAGGAAAAATCTTTTGAAAAGATATTTAAATAACTCAAATTTTTATTTGGATTATTTTTCAAAATTTTAATCAGGTTATATGACTCAAAAAAAGATTTTATAATTTTATAAAATGACTCTAATATCTATTTTATTAGAAATCCATAAAGATAAGGATTTTTAACTATTCTTGTGTCGTGTAAAAGTTTTGAGCAAGACAAATTTAGGGTCTTACCATCATGTGAGAAGAACAAGACGGGACCCATCTCCTGCCTCCCATCATGGGATGCCCATGATGAGCAAGACAAATTTGCTTCTTTTCGCCGGTCAAAAAGTGACGGACTCCATTTTCATTATGATAATTTCACGAGCATCGTGAAAGTAAAGAGCAAAATTATATAAAAACTTAAAATCATTAATTTTATTTTTAGATACATATAATACCCCAAAATTTTGACTTAATTATATTTTAAATCTTTAATTAAACTTTAAATCATCCATAAATAAATAATACTCCTCTGATTTTTAAGATAGGATTTAATTATTAAGTTGATTTTGATCCTAAATATAAGACCTATTTCTCATATTTATCATTTTTTTCTAAATTACACATATGCATACTCCCTCAACCATAATCAAGTAGAAGAGGGAGGGAGATATTAAGAAAGATAATTATGATGTTTTAAGAAAAATATATCATATTTTTTATAATTAATTAACTTACCTAATTTTGTTAATCTAATCAAATTAGTTAAATAGATTTTATATTAAAAAATGAAAGAATAAGAAGTAACAGCGTGAAAGTTTTATGCATAGTTTAGGGAGGTTTGTTGTAAACTTTTAAAAAATCTAAACAACGCAACTTACGGAGGGTACTAATTATAAAAAAAGATGGGGACACATCGCAGGTAACACGCATTAGAGACGAAGCTCTCTCATATTTTCACACGTTGCTTACCATTCACGTTCACTTTTTCAAAGAAAAGCTGCTACACCTGTAAGCACAGCGAGGGAGCTTTGGCTTATTCAATAGAGGGGGCTTTTCATCTGCGTTTTTTTTTTTTGACCAGCTTTTCATCTGCGTATTATGTTTATTTGGAGCATTGGTGTTTTTGGAACAGAGTTTAGTCATAAAATTTGCCTATCTTTTGAAAATCCCAAGTAAGGGTAAATATGAAATTTTGAGATAAAAAACTAAAGAAATGGAAAAGGAGAGAATCTGCACCCTTCATTTCCTCCCTAATTTTTTAAACACATTATTTAGGATAGTCAAAGTTGTACGGACCACATCAAGAGAAGAATTGGAAAGTTCAGGCCTAACGTCAGGTTGACTTGACCGAGGTCGTGTGAGAAGAACAGGGACGAATTTTCCCATCCAATGCCTCCCATCATTCCTACATTACTGACATGCACATGCACACATCATCAAGCAAATCGCGGGCTTTGCTTCTTTTCTACGTTTCACACGCCAGAGGATTACTGGCTGTAAAATGGGAAAATACTGTGTGGAAAAAAAGCTGGTTATGCAAGTCAAAGTGATTACTGGCGTGTCGTGGTGAGGGAAGGAGCATGGAAGGAAGACTGTAGACCCTTTTGGCCTTTTCTCCAAACAAGTTTTCACAATAAGTAGGGCCTTTAGCTCTCTTCCCTTATTGTAGACAAAAAGAGAGGAAAAGAGGAAGAAAAGAGGAAGATAGGAAAGGAACAGAGAGAAATTGTGAGAAACTTGCCAGAAAATTCTAGTTTCAGCCATCTAATAACACTATCAGGAAGGTAGACACCTGAAAGCTTGTATATATTAAGAATTAGAGTTTAGACACTTCACCTCCGGCTGTAAGCCCAGGTCAGTATATCATACATCTACGGCTTTCACTATTTTTCTTTTCCATTTTTTTCCTTTGCAATCTGACCATCTCATATTTCATTTGTTTCCTTTAGCCAAATGAAATTGTCTGGTTTTGTTGTAGTCGTAATATTGCTGGTTCTTCAAATTATTGGCTTAAACATTTATGGCAAGTAACCAAGGAGGATCTTCTTCAAACTCTTCCAACTCCAATTCAACCAAAAGAACTTGGAAGTATGACATCTTCTTGAGTTTTAGAGGTGAAGACACGCGTAAAGGCTTTACTGACCACTTGTACCATGCACTAAAGAGGTGTGGGTTCGAGGTTTTCAGAGATGATGAAGAACTTGAGAGAGGAGAAGTCATTTCCAAAGAACTCATACAAGCAATTGAGGATTCTCTATTTGCAATTGTTGTTCTCTCAGAAAACTATGCCTCTTCTTCATGGTGTTTAGATGAGCTTAAACATATTCTTTACTCAAGAAAAAATTTGTCTCGACTAGTTTTCCCCATATTTTATTATGTAAATCCATCTGATGTAAGGCATCAAAGAGGAAGTTTTGCCAAAGCTTTTGCTAGGCATGAGATGCTTCAAAGGGGCGATGAGGTCATGAAAAGTTGGAGAGATTCTCTCAAGGAGGTTTCAAACTTATCTGGTTGGGATTGCAATAAGAATCAGTAAGTTAATTTCTTATTGGGTAAAATTATGCAAAAAATATTTTATATTTATATAATCATTTTATGGAACATATATTGATCTAGATGCCGTCAAACTATTTGGTTGACATGTATGTGTTCTTAGTTTAAAAATTAAAAAAAAATTAATTATTAAGATGAACATTTTGGTTGTAATACACAATTATACCTTGTATTGGAAGTGTCATCATTCTTTTTATTGTTTATTCAATCGTTCTTTCCATTTCTATTTACCACTATTTAATAAATGAGTTCTCACTGCTAACTTTTGTAGAGAAAAGAATTGTAAAACTTTTTTAATACAATTATTTGATATTGATACTATTAGTTATATTTGAGTATTGTGGAATCAACTTTACAGTACCTGGTCATTTTTTAGTTATGTCGTCATTTATTCTTAAAAATTTTGTAACTATTCCTTTTTTTTTTGGTATTGAAGTTAAAAGTTTTAAATTTTAAATTTGTATTTTGTTAATTTGTAATTTTTTTTTCACATCCACAACTTTTTATCCTTGAACTGAAAAGCTTTAATATCACAATTAAATTAAAGCGCTCATTGAAAAAAAAAAAACAAGAACTGCATGAAATTGTTTCATGTGTTGATAATCCAAAAGGAAAAGAATATTAACAATTGCAGACATTGGAGTAACAAAATATTATACTAACTCTGATCCTAATTATAAGACCTCATTTGTAGGTCTATAATTAAGAAAGAAGGTAGTATAATATTATAGAATAAATCAAATGTTATATTTCACATGGCCATTCATATGTTGTTGTAACTTGTAGGTCTGAAGCAAAACTTATTGAGACAGTGGTTGAGGAGCTATGGAGCAAATTCTGTCCTAGACTCCACCTTATACTGAAGAGCTCATTGGAATTGACAATAAAGTGAAACAACTAGAGCCATTATTGGAGATAGGTTCGGATGGTGTTCGGTTTTGTAGGAATATGGGGCTCAGGGGGTGTTGGGAAGACAACAATTGCTTGGGCTTTTTGAAAAATATCGTAGCCAATTTGATATTAGGTGCTTTCTTCACAATGTCAGGGCAACTTCAGAAAAAGATGGTGGCGAGGTTCATTACAAAGGCAATTGCTTTCACATCTCAAAATAAGAAACATGAAAATTGAAAACTGCTATGAAGGGAAGAAAATAAAATCCAAAACCGTTGTTGCAATAAAAAGGTTTTACTTATCCTGATGATGTTAGCCATACAACCCATCTAGAAAATTTGGCTAATAGCCCAAACTGGTTTGGTGCTGGGAGTAGAGTGATCATAACAACTAGGCATTTAGACTTGTTACATGGAGCGCGTGTAGCATATCAACATGAGGTTGAAACTATGAACCCAAATGAAGCCCTTCAACTCTTTTGTCAGAAAGCATTTGGAGGAAGTGAGCCTCAGGAGGATTTGTTGGAGCTGTCTAAAATTGTTTGTGATTATGTAGGAGGCCTTCCTTTAGCTCTCTCTGTTTTGGGCTCCTTTTTCTGTGGAAGAAGTACTGTGCAATGGGAAGATGCTTTGGATATGTTGAGGAAAGATGCTTTGGGAATGTTGAAGAAAGATCCCGATAAAGATATTTTTGGGATACTTAAAATAAGTTTTGATGCATTATCTGATACAATACAAGCAATATTTTTAGATATTGCTTGCTTCTTCAATGGTTGGAGCAAAAACAAAATAACAAAAATATTGGAAAGTTGTGGTTTTAATGCAAAAATTGGAATAACAATTCTCCAGGAAAAGTCTATGCTAAAGAACTATGGCGATATTTTAGTGATGCATAATTTGGTGGAACAAATGGGTAGGAAGATTGTTGTGGATAAGTCTTTTAATGATGTTGGAAATCGTAGTAGATTGTGGACTAATGAAGACATTGATAAAGTTATGGAAAACAATTTGGTGAGTATCGCTCTTATCTCTTATTGGTTTAAATATATTTTACACCTTATTTTCTTATATTGTAAATTTGATACCATTTTTCTTGTGGCTAATGTTGTTTTTCAGGGTACAAAAGAAATACAAGGTATGGTTTCGTCCACATCTTGGGACGCATTTCAGGATCTTGAACCATTTTCAACATTGCATAATGTTGTTTATCAAGGCACAAAAGAAATAGAAGGTATGGTTTCGTCCACATCTTATGAGGCATTTTGGGATCCTAAAGCATTTTCAACATTGCATAACCTCAGATGTGATGATATCAAGTGATTTTCATCTCCCTAATGGCCTCAAATGTCTTTCTCATGCTTTGAAAGTACTTTATTGGACAAAATATCCTCTAAACACTCTTCCTCTGGAACCCGACTGCGTGAACTTGTTGATCTTAGAATGCATCATAGCAAATTAAAGAAACTTGCCTGGTAAGATATCTTGTCTTTTGATGTACTGATAGTGTAATTGATTATGCTAGTTAGCACATTGTGTTTTTTTTCCAATGATTCTCATATATTTGTTTGGCCAGTGCTCGAAGAATTTGAAGTTTTTGGACCTGCGTTACTCCAAAAGCTTGATTGAAACTCCTGATTTTCGGAACTTCCAAACCTGGAAAGATTGGAACTTGAAGGTTGTGAAAAACTGTTGACCTCATGCTTCAATTGGACAACTCAAAAAGCTTCAAGCATTGAATTTGAAAGGTTGCAAAAATCTTAGAGCCCGTTGTCCAAAAAAATTGGAAATGACTGCTCTTAAAGAACTTGTTCTTTGTGGATGTATTCAAGTAAAATTTCTCCCAGAGTTTGGAGAAAGTATGAAAAATCTAGAAACACTTGATGCTGGGGAGACAAATATAGTCAAACTTCCTGAGTCACTTGGCTTATTGATTGGTCTTAAGACTTTGAAATTAAGGGGCTGTAAATATCTTGTTTGCCTTCCTCAAAGCATTCACAATTTGAAACGTCTTGTTATTATCGATATATCTGGCTGCTCAAAATTTGCTAGATTGCCAGAAAAGATGAATGAGATCGAAGGCTTGGAAGAGCTCGACGCAAGTAAAACTGCTATAACAGAAATACCTTGTTCCATTGGTGGTGTAGAAAAACTCAGGATATTGTCACTCCGTGGGTGCAAAAGGTTAACATTGAACTCTTGGAGCATGATTCCTTTGTTGAAGCACATGTTTTGGAGGCAGTCAATTCATAAGGGCTTAACAATGCCTGCTTCAATTGTCAATCTTAAATCACTGACAGAATTAGATTTAAGCTGCTGCGGCATGGGTGATGGATCCATTCCAGATGACTTGTCTGGCTTATCATCATTGGAGAGATTAGATCTAAGTGGAAACAATTTTAAGAATCTACCGATTGGCTGCATATCTAATCTTCTGAATTTGAATAGTGTGATGTTGAATTCTTGCTCAGAACTTCAGTTGTTGCCGCAGATTCCGCCAAGTTTACGTTTCATGGAAGCAGAAGGCTGTCCTTCATTGGAAACAGGGGGAGGCGAACAATTATCACATCTCTTTGCATCAATGGACCAGGTACGTACATATATCCCTATATCATTATAGAATTCTATGCATTTATTTTGTTTTTAATTATACCATATAATTTCATGCCCGATTATTTATCGGTTTAGGGGATAAATTCTTGGATGAACGAAAGACTCTCGGTGACTATTCCTGGAAGTGAAATACCGTCATGGTTTGAGAATCAAGTTGATCTTTGTACGGATGAAGAGGGTAGGGCTTTCTTGTTCATGGACATACCTTCATGGGAAGAAATGGTGGGAATTGGATTATGCACTCTGTTAGAAAGCAAGTTTTATTCCACTGAACCCGACACAAGAGAACGGGAATTCTTGTGGTGGCTCTATGATTATTATGGACATCCCAGAAGCACCAAGAAGTTAAGGGTGTTTGATTGTGATGGTGAGAATAAAAGGAAGTCTCCTCACCTTTGGGTCATGTTTTGGAAACAAAGAGAGGTAAGGAGTGCTATGATGGACTTAAGAGAGCGGAGTCAGATTCCCTTCATATTCAATGCCGACTACAATGATGCGAAAGTTACAATAAAGTGTGGATGGCGTGTCATGCGCAAAGGTGATTCGAAAACAGCGGTTGCTCAAGGAATCAAAGTCTTATTCCAATATTAGAACAGGAAATGGACCGAGTAAGTCAACTCCGTTATGCTTATTATTTCCATTTTTATTTCAAGCTACCCCCTCCGTCCTTATATTCCCTTTCGGCCCTAATATATATATATAGTACCATTTTAACTAATTATTGATTAGTATTAATTGTTATTCGTAACTAATAGTATGTCAAATACTCTTTTACAGTTATTACTAACATTTAATGAGAAGTATTAATTAGTAATGGTTTTTTCGCCAAAGTGAAAATTGAGCCTTTTCATTTACATGCAGAAGAGAATAAATATTAACTAGCTAGGGGTATTTTGGTGTAGGAGAGAAAAATGGATGGATGGGTTCTTATCCTCATAAAGGATTATTAAAGCAAGTAAGCAAGAGGCTTCTACTTATAAAGGAGTAAATCAAACAAGCAGCCTTTCATATTTAGGAAGTTGGAAAGATAAAAAAGATGAGCATTAATCAAGGATGTTTAACTAATCTGCTTAACTATCTTTTTAACATGTTAGGCTAGATAATTTTCTTTATAGATTGTAGCAAGAGCCCAAAGATGGAGGGAGTGTACACACACAAAATACTCCTCCGATCTTTAATATAAGACCCAATTTTGAGTTGATTTTGTGTCCTAAATATAAAACTCATTTCTTATATTATTAATTTTCTCTATATTATCCTTATGAATACTCCATCAACCATAATCAAGTAGAAGAGAGGGAGAGGATATTAAGAAAGATAATTATGGTATTTTAGGAAAAATATGTAACTTTTCTTATAATTAACTAACTTATCTAACTTTCTTAATCTAATTAAATTAGTTAAATGTGTCTTATATTAAGGACTGGAGGAGTAATAATTTTCTGCCTGCAGCCTACTTTTCCCAGACTTTTGGTTATTGAAATAATAACTCTTTCTGTAAATTGAATGAATGTGTGGCAAAAATGGAACAACGACGAGAAGTTAACTTGGTTTGTTATCATAAATGAAAAACAAGCAAGATACACGCACAGATGGCGGCATGTAACTTAAATTAATGATAACTAAATGATACGTAGCAGCAGCTTAATTATTTTTGTGATTTGATTGTGTTATTGTGCAGATTTTTCGTTTCCCTGGCCCCCCATGTATCCATTCACTATTTGCTGCTGGCGACATCGACACTGTATTCACGAGATATGGTCCCGTGATGATCGGTAAGTTCCACGTAAACGCCACTAATATATTGCCTCTGCCCTCTTGTTTTATATATTATTCATACCATATAGTAACCAGTTTGGACCAAAAAACTGAAGTATTTATTAATTTGTTAGATTATCTTTATTTAAAATTTTAAAATTTTTAATTAAAATATACCTATAAAAAGGCTACACTATATATATCACAAAAAAGAAAAAAAAAACAGCAACTCAGTGACGAATTATCATTTCGCCAAATATTTTTATTATGCATTTAAAATACCGGCCAGTTGCCATCATGTGTGACGCCATCAGCCGCCACGTGTCCCTTGTTGACTACTACCACTTCACCACCTTCTTTATGCCATGCTGCCACATGTCCATATCATTATGGTTTTCTTAGTCATGATTGTTACAAAAAATTATTATTTAAACTCCTAATTTTTAGAATTAAAAAAATTAAAAATATACTTTTGGAAAAACTTTGTATAAAATTAAAATACTAAAAATATGCTGGTATGACAAAAGGAAAACGATATTGGTTGCAACGATATGTTATACCACGATCACTTGTGCATTCTGGTAAAATAATTAGAAATAATTTATCATAATTAGGATTGGATCAATACTTTATTATGATATCTATTTGATATTAGTTCTTGACAAAAGGAAAATGCTAGTACCAATATGTTGCAAGCCCCCTCCTTTTATTTATGTATCTTATGTTTTAACAACTAATTTTAAGCCAGGCTAAGGCACGTGGAAATTAAATGTAGTGGAGAGTGTGGATGGAGCTTGAGACAACAATGCTCAAATATGACTTATGGATCTCATTACTTTAATACATTTACGTGTATAATTTTGGGTTTTTTAGCACTAATTATTAGTTAATTGGGGCATAATTAATGATAAACATGCACAAAGGGTAGTGAAGTTATTTTAGAGGTTTTGTGTGCTTGTTTGTTGTCTGTGTGATCTTCTATGTTATGATATTTAATCCCTTGAGTTGATTGTGCGTGCAGGTCACAAAGACCGTACTTGCATGTTATGCGAGTTGGAGATAAATACACAAACATGGCAACAAGGACCACAACTTGTTGCACCTGAGATCCAGAGAAATTACAGAAACGACCAATCCAGCAAAATAACGATGAAGGATTAGAGGAGATAGAACGCTGCGTTTTTGCTGAGGTTCCCATATCCGATTCGAGATTGCAGATGCTCAGATTCATCTCACTTTCATCTTTGTTTTGTTTGCCCATTCCTCCCGACCCTATCCTCCACCTCTGGTCATCATCTTCTCCAGATCCACCATCTCCATCTTTATCGACCACCGTCTTGGTCCTCTCAATTCCACCATTTCCTCTCGTCCTTCGGTTGCAATTCCGTCTTCACTTGCTGAGAACCATGATCGAGAGTCCTGTGAACTTGGTGAAATGTGTGTCCGTCCATGAGCAGCTAGGCCTTCCATTCCTTGATGATGATGAACCCAATATGAGTTCCTCAAGCTAATATACGGGAGTTTAACC